TTTAAAATTTGGAGATTGGTAGGTAAATTTAAAAATAAAATGTTCTTTTCAAAATTTTCATATTGGGAGAGAATTGTTTGAGGTAAGAATATATGGGTCTTACATTTTATTTTCCTTTCACTTTTCTCTCCATAGCCAAGGGAAAATGCTACTTCCCCCTACTTTTTTGTTTTCCTTACTTTTCTTTCTTACCAATCATAGCATAAATATAAGCACATTTTTCAGTAAAAATTTAAATCTTAATTCGTCACATTACAAGGAACTAGTTCATTTTGTTAAATCTGCTCCATCAATATAGTCTCTTTAACTTTAGCAAAACTAAATAAAGTTATATATATATATATATATATCTTTTTTTTTTTTACTTATGGATACTCTGTCATTGGGAACAATTATGTTTAAAGCATAGTCAAACATTAAAATGTGTACATCTCTCATGGTAAGGATTTGAACTTCGATTTCACTGATTGTGAGGGACTAATCCTCTTCATGAGACCCAACTTCTATTAGTTTATTTGTTTAGAATATATATATATATATATATATATTCAGCTTTATATATTTAATATGGTTGTTTCCAATTAAATAAAGACATGTTAATCTTTTACATATTATTTATTTTATATTAAATTCTTGTTTTCACTTTTAATTAACACACTATGATTCACGTGTCATGATTAAAATTGATATAAGTATATTAAATATTTAAGATTAAATACATAAATATTGCCCTCTTTGTTTTTACTTTGAGTGATTGCGAAAGCATTTATTTGTTATATTAGCCAATCAATGTTATTGAAATTAATGTTATTAAAAAAAGAGACCCAACAATAAATGCTATTATAAAGCAAGCCTAATAAAAATTATAACAAAAAAGGGCCCACCAATAAATGCTATCATAAATAAGGGCAAATTTGTAACCTTGAATCTAAGCTCCAGGTTTAGTTCTATTTGATTTTTTTTTTGAAAAAAAGTTACTTTCATGGGATTTAATGCAAGATTTTTGTTAAACATATGAAACAATTATTTTTTTAAAATATGATTGTCATGAGTATAACCAATGACATTTTTTTTATAAATTTGGAAACAGTAAATAATTTTAATCAATAAAGAAGTCTTAAAAATAAGAACTTTTTAATATTATTTGTTCATTTTAGTCAATACAATTTTTAAAGGAGAAAACTTAGATACTTAATTTTATATATTTAATATATTTATTTTCAATCGAATTAATATAAGTGAATTTTAATATTTTTAAAAATTTAAATATTACAAAATGTTTTTAAAATGGTAATTCATGGGTAAAATGTACATGTTTTGATTTTGTTAGAAATAAGTACCTTAAGAATACAATATTAAATGTTTAAGTTTTGCCCATTTTCAAATTACACCTAACTAATAAATCCTATCATAATTAATATTATTTTTTAAGTAAAATTATAAATTCTAAGAGTACAAGAAGTAGACTTTGACAATAGTAGAGATTATCTCCTCTGAAACACGAAAGAGAAAAAAAATGTTACAATATATACAAAACTGCAAGAGCTGGGTTTCAAACCCCCAAATGCACTTTTGTTATATTAAGTAATATTACATTACTTTATATAAGAAATATGTATTGAAAATAACATGCACATGGCAGGAGGAACCTCTATAGTCTACACTTAAACTTGCACTAAATTATATAGAACTTTTCAAAATTTTGAACAGCATATAAATAAAGGAGCATAATATAAGTGACAATTATTTAGTGTGTGCAGATAATTCATTTAGTGACAATTATTTTGTTATTTTAATAATGGAGCATAACATATCACTGACTATCTCAATCAAAACTTATTTTATTATTAATATGTATCTATTTAAAGTTTGTGTTATGTGCAAATAATCTTCTAAATTATGTTATATTACTCCAGTGAGAAAAAAGAAAACAAATTAACAATAAGAGAGTTTATCAATATAAATATTTCAAAATAAAATTCTAAATATGGGGTAGGGTATCTGGACATGGATCAAGGTGCAAGGAGGTTTTGTATATTTAACATTAAACTAATGTATTAAGAGGTCTTTTTTTATTAAATTAATACGTGTATATTTTTTATCTCTAATTTACCCCTATGACAAACAAGATAACCATGTATAACTTTATAAATAAAAACGCATGTAATTAAAGGAGTAGGAGAATTCCACACGCAAACGCAACACTTCTTTTACACTGCTTCCTTTCATTATAAATAGAGAATTGTTCGTTATAGCTTTCAGCAGCTTGGCGCATGATAACAGTGAAGAATGGGGGATTGGCAATTTCTGAGTTAGGATTTTGTTATCGCATGACACAGTAAGTCTATGTGGAATTTGAGCTTATTTGCAAATTTAATCTTCAATTTAAATTGAATATGAGCTTCATCCATACGCACCATGTGTTACAACTATGCTATTTTATTACGTGGATGATGATTGTGTTTATTTGAGCATTGGAATGGAATTGAGTTTAATTACATTTGAGGGGTTAAGAAAATAATATTGTGTTTTTCTAATCAATTTAAATACAATTTAATTTTCCTAATAAGGTTCTACAAATTATACTGCAGTTCTTTTGGCACTAATGATATTATTTGGAATGTTGTCAATTTTTGTTGGAATCATGAGAAGATATAAATTGCATGCCATCAATCAAATATTCCTCTCCTTTTTTACATTTTCTTTCCTTTCCATTCTCCCATATCGAATACAACCTTGACAAAATTCTAAAGATACACAAAATTTACTAATACTTTTCGAGCATTGTGTAAAATTAAAAAAATAGCAAAGAAACTATAAGAGTCTTTTAACTTGGTTGGCTCAATCTTACCTTAACATGCTAAGGACGATCTTGAAGATCGGGTCGAGATGAAAATCAAGTTGAGCACAAACCCGACACCACTCAGCTAGAGGTATGTATATTGTTTTAAATTTTTATGAACATTAATTAATTTTATGAGACTTTTTGATACATTATATGTAATAAATTGATTCCCCCTTACCCAGCTTGCCTAAATTTTATTAGATAGAAAATTCAAATTTTAATTATTATTATGAAAATTTTTAAAAATTAATGCAATACTTTTATTTTAAATTTTGAATTTATTTTTAACCAAGTGTTATGTAAAAATAATGAATAATTATTTTTTCATGACTTAAAAATGCTACTTTTTATCTAAATATTGTTTTCAAGGAATCTAATTTAGATGGCAATAATTATAATTTTTTAATGGATATAATTATCTATTGTTTTATATTTTTTAATAGTTCATTCAAGTTTGGACTAAGCTTGACAACAATTTTGTAGATCAACAAGGACGACCAATCTCAACTTAAATTCCCAAGTACACTATACCGTGTTGCAAAGACAAACGGTACATACCAACAATTGAATCATATGAAAAACAAATAACGATTCAGGGATTGACGGTAAGATCATGGTTAAACTGTGTGATTAATCTAATCTCTATGTACCTATACTTCTATACGACACAATAACTGTATTTATTACTTATAACTATTATCTTGAGATTATAAGCAAAATTGAACTTGTGACTTTCTACTCACAAAAAAACTTACATGCCACTTGGTTATAAGATCATTGGCATAAATTTATTATTATGACATTAGTATAAAATTTGTCTATAAGTCCTCTGAGTTTAAATTCTTATTTTATAGCCACTTTACTTGTATAATTCCAATCTTTTTCCATTTGGTGTGACGCTTTCGTTATGATTTGTGAGGGATACATAATTGCCAAGTTAAACTAATTTTTATTTTCTGCAGTCAATTTGGCATAGAGATATAAAAAAATCCATTTTTCTTAATGTCTATTTTCCTTTTATACTAAATCATCACCATTGATTTTTGTAATGCACCAAGACATCTCTCATTTTTTAACTAGATGCTACAATATTTCTTTCAGAATGCTGTTGCTTTGAAGTTTTGTTTTTCCTTTTCCAAAATAATTATCACTTGTTACAATTTCATCTTTTGGTAATAAGAGTGCTCATGTTTTTTTTTTTTGGTCAAACAATGCTCACAAGCTAAACTACCTCAAAATTACTTTCTTTCTTCATTAATTAAGAGTATCTTAGTCAAATAATATCGACTTTTTCACGATAACAGTGGATGGATGTTCAATCAATTTTTTAAAACTATACACCTAAACTTGACTTCCACTGAATATTTTGAAATTATTATTTATTTGCAAAACAAGTACTTTCAAATATGAATACTCTTGTGGGGAGTCCGGAACTTGTAGTTCAAGTAGCATGGCCCTTATTCCTTAATGGAATTATGTAAGCAATGTTAAAACCCCATGCGATTAAAAAAAATAAAAAGGACAAAATTTGATGTAGGTTTTGTGTGATGTGTCATATGCGTGTGACTTTATTTCCTATTATATACTCCCTCCAATTCAAAATTGCTGTGTTTGGTTAAATGGGTCAAGAATAATTACTATTTAGATTAGATTACCCCTTAATTAAGATTAATCTACCTTATTTTTTTTATTTCTTTCTCATACAATCTCTCTTTACATTAATAGGGATATTTGTGAAAAAAAAATTAATGTTATTGGCTTTTTACGAAGTGTCTTACACTTTGAACTAATATTAACATATATAAAATATTTTATATTTTGCATTGAAGGGTGTACAATTAAAAAATATTTTACATTTATGTCATTTGAAAATAAAAATAAAAGTTAGATTATTAATTATACATTTTATTAAATATATAAGTACAAAATTAAATGGTGATAAATAATGAATACTTTAATAATTATCAATGATGAATGATAATAATTCATAATTATTAAATAATTAATTAGCTTTATGCGCGTGACGGTCAAAATGGGGCAGCGGGGAAACCTGTTGGGTTTTCAGGGCACGCCTTGTACCGCTGTTCTCTTTGCTTCAAATCTAGAGAGAGAGAGAGAGAGAAGAGTGCGCAGTGCGCACCCTGAGACTCTTTCTGTTCACTGCTTCAATTCAACCCCTCTCACTCTCAAAGGGACACGCGAAATGTGAGGAGCCAAAAAAAAAAAAAAAACAGGTAGAAGATTACAACTTGATACGAATAAACAATTCAGGAGATCGTGAGAGGTGAGAGAGAGGAGGGGGAGAGACACAGCTGAAAAAGAGGCAGGCAGGGAATAGGGGGTCGTGTCGGCTTCAACCAAACACGACCTTATCAACCATCCCCTCCATCGAGTTTCGATCTACTTCATTTGCTTTACTTTTTTGTGCCACCTTCTTCTCCCCGAAACCCTAGCGACTTGCTTTGCTACTCCGACTTGGGGGTCCGGAGAAGGTAACTCAGCTTTGAGGTATACTGGGTGTTCTGTTTGCTATCGAAATTTTCTACTTGGGGCAGCGGTTGGGCGAAATTTTGGGTCATTCTTATTTTGGGATTCTGGGTTTTGGATTCTGATTCTTACCCTCACTGGGTTCGTGCATCTGATTTTGGGTTTTGTTGTGTTGGGTATGGATTCAATGGTTTTAAGACTATAGTTTTTGGCTGTGTTTGCTTTGTGGGAAACACTGTAAAACTGTGTTTCTTGTAGTATTCTGGAATGTGGTTTGCGTCCAATCGGCGTTATTCTGCCCCCTTGGATCCGGTGTTGTGGGAACTGGAAATGGAAAATGTTCATTTCTTCCTCATAATTTTCCTAATGAAATATTTTTCCTTTTTAAGTTCTTTTTTGTCGACAGAATCAATTTCCTCATGCTCGTTTGATAACATTTCCCAATTTATACCTGGGATCGTTTTTTTTTTTTTTAACCACCGACCCCGGGATTGCTTTAGGTTTTTGAAATTCGGACGATTATTTCCATTATAATACTTATAATTGTTATAATTAGTCTAAAGGTAAATCTCACTTGCTTCATTTAAGGCGCAGAAGTTGAGTTAGTGAGTTACCTGACCCCTTACACTATTGCCAATAAAACATAGACAAAATTAAGGCTTTATTTAGCTGCTTCAGAATTCTCTTGTCTTGTTGATTGTTAAGAACCAGTGTGTTCTAATAGTTGGTGATAAAATTAATGGAATGATTTTTTGTGTAACAGAACCATTTTAAACCCCGAGTTCTCTTAAATTCTGAGTTCTTGTGAAGATTTTTCTCATGGCATTTATGGCTTCAAATCAGACTTCTGGCGGAAACCATGCAGGTTTGAGTTTATACTGTCACTAGTTTTCTCAATTTTCTTGTGTTGGTTTTCATTTGGCGGAAAACATGCAAACATGTTTGGTAGCTTAAAGCTACTTACTATTTCCAAAATGTAAGTGACAATTGTTGAATGGTAAAAATTCTATGACGAAGGGAAGAAATAAAAACTTGTCTTGATATACAGCTGCTTATGATGGCCTAATCAATTTGATTAATTTTATGTCCTATCATTTCTTTGTTATTTGTGAGAATGGTATTGGATGTATAGGAGCTTTTGCTCTTGGAAATTTTGAGGCAGGCATAGGAATAGGACCTACTTTATCTTGTTCTTTTCTCCTTTTGGTTTCTTACATAGTACAACTATGAAGTGTTTGTTTGGTTACATTTTCCTAAAGTATTTGTCAAACTGAAATTTTGGTAAAAGTTAGTTATTGTAACAAGATTTATGTTTGAATACATTTTTATTAGTATTTTGGATAATATGGGAAATGAGGGTTGTTAGAAATTAACTGCCACTAAAATGTTAAACTGACTTTGTGAACGGTAAAAGCAACTTTGACTTGCGTTTCCTATATTGACTATTTATAGAGGCTCCACAGCTTGTAAATGCGCTTTCAAAAAATAGATATTTCTACCCAAACATGGGTTTAGTGGATGTAAGTTTAACAAAAGGACTTTTGGGGTAGTAAAAGTGGTATCCAAACACTCTCAAAGTATGAGTTGTAGCTGTTAAGTTAATGCATCCTGCTAGTGGTGTGTAACATTGTGTCCACTTCTACAAGGTCAGCCAGTCACTTGAGCTTTCTCCTTTATCTATGATAGTGCATTTTTCCGGTAGGTTTAAAGTGTAGTCCTCCTAGTAATCATTTTATTCTTGTGCTCATGTACTCACTCTTCTTCTGTCATTCATATACATATGATAGAGCATTATCTCTGTTGGCTGGTGATTTTATGATTTGTTTTGAATTTTTCAAATGGTCTGACCTAAATGCTATCAGGTTTGTGAGACTACTATTGCCTTGCTTCTCTGGTTGTGATCAATTTTATGTAGTCAAAATTATGGATCCCAAGTGTTAGAAGTTGTGTGAAATATGAACTTAAAGTTTGGTGCCTAGTTAGATGCAATAAAAGTTTTTTCTTCTTCATCCTTGCTTTAGTGTGTTTTTTCTTCTTATCCTTGATGAAATTATCTCCGCATGCTTGCTTTTTAGGGGCAATCAATGATGATTTATACAAGGAGTTATGGCGTGCCTGTGCTGGCCCCCTTGTCACTCTGCCTCGTGAAGGGGAGCGAGTTTACTATTTTCCCCAAGGTCACATGGAACAGGTATCTGGGTTTTTGATTGCAATGAGTCTTAGAATTTTCATTGACGAGCTGTGTACAAAATATATTGGTATCCGAGGAACATATCTAAATATGTATTCAGGATTTTTTTTTTTAATCTAGTTGAAGCTTAGCTGGTGCTTAACTGCATAGCAATTTTAGACTTGTTAATGGAAGCCAACTGCTTTGCTGTTTGCACATTGAATTCAATTATTTTTTTTTTAAATCCTTAGCCTACAGCTCTTGTTGATGAAATTTCATGATGTGATCCGATAACATTGTGGCTTTTTATTTTGTAGCTTGAGGCCTCGATGCATCAGGGGTCTGACCAGCAAATGCCTTCTTTCAATCTGCCTTCTAAAATTCTGTGTAAGGTCGTAAATGTTCATCTACGGGTGAGTTATGATTTTTCTTGCACTCTTACTGCAAAGTTTTTTAGCTTATCAATCATTTACTTAGGAATTGGCTGTGTTTTATCATCAGTATCATTTAAAATGATTAGTTTAATCTTGGTTTTGTAGGCTGAGCCTGAAACAGATGAAGTCTATGCACAAATAACTTTGCTTCCTGAAGCTGATGTGAGTTTTTATTTTTTATTTTATTCAGCAATTTTTTCACATTGCATATTCATCATCATCATCATCATTTTTAGGCTAAAGAATAAAATTAAAAGGGAAGATACTAGTTAACCTGGAAGCAATGTTTTTAGAACCAGATCGGATATTGAACTTGAAAGGTCAGCGGTTCACAGTTTGTACGGCTCAATTGGGTTGGACCAATGGTCAAGCCAGATGTAATAATTAAACTAAAAAAATTATATATGTATATAATAATCTAAATATAAAAAATAAATATGAAATTTCTACTTACCTTAAAGATAAAATCAAATATTTTAAGTTTATCATGACTTAATAAACCACATGATACAATATAACATCAAAGATTTAAAATTGGTCATTTTCTAAAATAAATTTGATAAAAGACTAAAAAAAGAATTTTTTGAATAGTCTGGTTTCTAAAATTGGATCTGGTTACCGGTCCAAAACAGCCCAACTCCTAAAATGGTTTTTACATGCTGACTCAACTGAAATCCAGACTGGTCAACAGTCTGATCTGGTCTTTTTAATCATTGGCTGGAAGATACCAATGAGAAGGATAAGTATGCGCCAAAGAGATGGTTAAAGATAATAAAAAAGTTTGCATGACAAAAGAACTTAGGTATTGGTCTTGTGCATTATGACTACGAGGAGCCCAAAAATGAAATGAGTGTTCACATTTTGTGAACAGTCCAGGTTGCTATGGGTTTATATTTATTTTTTGGGTCACCGTGGATTTATATTTACATGTAGATAGAAAATTAAACAAGCAGCAAAGATTTTGAATCTCTATATTTTCAAGAGACGCTCTTTCATAACTTCCATGAGCTGAGCATTATAAAGAAGTACCAATCCGCATTCTTGCCCATGTCTAAAGTCAAAGTCGAATCCCTGAAGACGTGAGCATTCCTAGCAGGAAAATACACCAAATCACAGTAAAGCCTTGCATTGCTATGGTGTTCTATTTTTTGGCACATGGCTGTTTATTTAGTGTTAAACCTTTTTCGTGTTCTACTTGTTCATAGGTGATTTTCATTTTGTACTGCTTTCCATCCATTAAGTTTCTTGTAGTTTTCTCTCTTCTATACCTTTCTTATGCTTCTCTGCTTTGTTGGCTTTAGCAAAGTGAAGTGACAAGCCCTGATGATCCTCTTCCAGAGCTTCCTAGGTGCACAGTTCATTCCTTCTGCAAAACGCTTACTGCATCTGACACTAGCACTCATGGAGGTTTTTCTGTTCTTCGAAGACATGCGGATGATTGTCTGCCACCACTGGTTAGCTGCTTGTTTTCAACATTCCATGTATTAGATGCTTGGCAATTATTTTACTTTAACCTTCACTTTTATAATCCTCATGTTTTGCTCAGGATATGTCCCAGCAGCCACCATGGCAAGAATTAGTTGCAACTGATTTACATGGGAATGAATGGCATTTTCGACATATATTTCGAGGCAAGCATCTTACTATATTTCTCTATTTTTTAATCATTTGAAGCCTGAGAACCTGGTAGGTTTTAATATTTAATTTCAGGCAGTGTGAAAAATAGATTTAACATATTACATCAAATGTGCTTAAGAAAAGAAGATACATGATTTTTTTTTTTGGTTAATTCTTAAATTTTTAATTGCTAATAGCCTAACACTGCAAAGCGGAAAAGAAAAAAAAAAATCTTCTGAGTGCTAGATAAGCAGCAACTTTTCTGGCTTCTCGTGGGAGGTCAGACTGTTGTTTGAAAAGTAAATCTAAATCATGTCTTCTGGCCTGTTCTTGTAATGCCGAGCTTAACTTGCTAGGGAAGAATCACTCCAAGACTATGCTTCGGAGGGATTAATTCCTAAGTCTCATGTTCAACTTTTCAAGTCAATCTATAAATGTTTAGCGTACTAGTCTCATGACATCTCAAACTAACCTTTGGTTGGTTAACTTGTGAAATTGATTCTTCTAGCAGAAAAGAAATGTTACCAGGTTCTATTTATATAGGTGTATATCATTTGCCACGTTAGTTTGCAAATGGATAACATGTTGATTTTACTGTTTAATTGCGATTATCCTCTATTAATTTCTGATGTAGCAAGTGACGAATTTAATCATAACTTTCTGGGGCAAGGGCAAGGGGTGTGTTAAATAGTCCTGTTCATGTTCTATTGTTTGTGGGTTTTTATAACCCACTTGTTCTTTCCTTGGCCAGTTGAGTTTGGGATTGTGACATTTTATTTTTGTGCTGTGCCTAAGCTCCTTACTGAACACTAATTTTCAGGGCAACCTAGGCGGCATTTGCTTACTACTGGATGGAGTGTGTTTGTAAGCTCCAAAAAATTGGTCTCTGGGGATGCTTTTATATTCCTAAGGCAAGTTAATAAGTAGTAATAACTTTCCATTGGTTCTTTATTTCTTGCTTTTGTTGCTTGGTGTAGTGATTGTGATTTGTTTTTCTTATTTGCTTTATTCCAGGGGTGAGAATGGAGAGCTGCGAGTTGGAGTTAGGCGGCTCATGAGACAGCAAAACAATATGCCATCTTCTGTCATATCCAGTCACAGTATGCATATTGGCGTTCTTGCAACTGCATCTCATGCCATTGCCACTGGAACACTGTTTTCTGTGTTTTACAAGCCCAGGTATTGCACTCAACATCACATATTTATTATTTATTAATTATTATTATTTTTTTAATTTTTAGTTCATTATGTTGTCAAATTGTGAGTGGTTCCCCTGTACTTGCAGCTTGTGTTCTTGTTTTCAGACATGCCTGCCTTTTATGATCTAATTATGTGGTGGTGAAGTGTGTTGCTCTATAATTAGTCAGATGGCTCTTTTAATTGAACCTCAGGTGCTAGAGAAAGGCACATTGGATGGGTTGAGTTATATTTTCATTCAAGATTCCGATTCAAAGTCAAGATAAAAGGGAACAGAGAGGGGGTTTGTAATTGATTGGCCTTTTATGTGTATTTTGCTGCATATTTTACAACATTTATGAATAGTTTTGTATTGGATTATGCTAATTTTTATTTTCTTTTTGGTTTTGGGATGATGTGTTTCTCTTGCTTCTTAACTGAGTAGACTTTAAACTGATTTGTCAATGTTGGTATCAGAACAAGCCGATCAGAATTTATTGTGAGCGTCAACAAGTATCTTGAAGCTCGAAGTCATAAGCTTTCTGTTGGGATGAGATTCAAGATGAGATTTGAGGGTGATGATGTTCCTGAAAGAAGGTGCATGATCTGGTTGGTTTTATGGTTAAATATGGGATGTTATTACATCTGATGTAATGTATTCTTTGACCCCTTCATACAGGTTTAGTGGCACAATTGTGGGTGTTGGAGACAATAACTTGACTGTTTGGCCTGATTCTGAGTGGCGATCATTGAAGGTTAATAATGACTTCTTCAACTTATAGTTTGTCGGATTCAGTAGTGTTTGTAAATTATTGGCATATTTTTTAAATAAATAGAAATTTTTCCAATCAAATTCTTGTAACTATAATAGTGATTTTTGTTATGAAAATGATTGGTATCATTTATAACGAGATTTCTAAGATTTTTTTTGTTTTATTTTTTGTTGTTCTTTTCTTTTTTTCTTTTGTTTTTTTTTTGCATGTACCAACTATTCAGTGCTAGTTTTTTTTTTTTTTTTTCCCGCATATACCAACTAGGATCTCAAACATTCACACTTAACTCTTTTAAGTGAATTTGAAGATAAGCATGATGTATTACAGAGTGGCTTTTGGTTCATTTTATTGTGCTGGAGTCTTCAGAGGCTAAATTGTTGTTTTGTGATCCACGTATAATGTATTTCAGGTGCAATGGGATGAACCATCATCAATTATACGCCCTGATAGAGTCTCACCTTGGGAATTAGAGCCACTTTTGGCCACCGCTCCTGCGAATGTTCAACCAATGCAAAGAAATAAGAGGCCCCGGCTTCCTGTTATTCCTCCAACAGTACCCGATTCTTCTTTGCATGGTACGCTGGTCTTGGACTATTTCTTTATGCCAAAAGTGTTATCCGTGTTCTACATATTTTTTTTCTTTGGACTTCAGGGGCATGGAAACCATCAAATGAATCCCCTTCCTTCTTTCGTGACTCACAACATGGACAGGATCTCTATCAATCATCTAAGTTCAATTCTTCTGCAACTAACTTTCTTGGTTTTGATGGGAACAAATCTAGGGGGACTGTTTCCGCCAATTCCATATATTGGTCTGACAGGATCGAGAACTCTACAGAGCATTTTTCACCTTTAGCTTTTAAAGAATCTGGTGAAAAGAAACAAGGGACTGGAAATGGCTGTAGGCTCTTTGGGATTCAGCTACTTGAGAATTCCAATGTTGAAGAAAGTATGCCGAGAGTCACTATGTCAGAGAGGGTGGGGGATGATAAGTCAGTTCCATGTGTGGATGCTGAGCCTGACCAGCTTTCTGAGCCATCAAATGTCAATGGATCTTATATCCCATCAGTGAGTTGTGATGCTGACAAATCAAGTCTTCAGGCTCCTCAAGAATCACAAAGCAGGCAAATAAGGAGCTGCACTAAGGTAAGTATGCTATCATAAATATATATCATTTGTGATCAATATATATGTAGCATGTTTTAGTTTCTATTTTTCTCACTGATATACAATGTCTTTGGTATTTTTCTATGTTCCAGAATCCTGATTATGGTCTTGTACAATTTCCTAATGTGCTGATAGAATCCAAAATTATTATCCACAATTTTCTCTATTATTTGATGTTGGTTGTCTTGCATTTAAAAAACAGAAATTCTTTTGCAGTGTTTCAAGTGTTATTATTATATATATGGGGTCAAAAGGCTTCTGTTTTTTTTTTTGGATGCTATTAACAAATAAAATTGTACTTTTCATCTTGCCACTCTTGGTTTGATAAAGCAATTTGGCATTTTCTGTCCACTAATATTTGTTTCTACATGGCATAATGTGGATATTTATTTCTATGTCCAGGTTCACATGCAAGGAATGGCTGTTGGTAGGGCTGTGGATTTGTCACGGTTTGATGGATATGAGGATCTGCTTAAAAAATTGGAGGAAATGTTTGACATCAAGGGCGAGTTGGATAAATCCGTGAAGAAATGGCAGGTTGTCTATACTGATAATGAAGATGATATGATGATGGTTGGAGATGATCCATGGCAGTAAGTTCATTTGATGCTAGCAGTTGCCTTGATTCTTTCTTTTTTTTTTTTTCTTGGTTGCATTTTCCTTTTTGCAATTCTGATGGACATAAATAAATATTATCTGATCATCGTGTGATCAATAAGCTGTGCAATTTCTTGAAAATTGCGGGCTTCATATTTTTAATCATAAATATCAGATACTTTGTTAGTATGTGTATGTCAATGAATATTTAATTCTTTCTATTTTGCTGTAGTGAGTTCTGCACTGTGGTGAGGAAAATATTCATCTACACACCAGAGGAGGTGAAGAAGCTCTCACCGAAAGTAGGGCTTCCAATCAATGAAGAAGTTAAGCCAAGCAAGGTGGATTCTGAAGCTGCAGTCAATAGTGAGGACCAGTCATCCACGGTGGGGCATAGCTGCTGATACTTTTGGGCCTTCTGGCATGCCCTAGCTGGTTTATACAATAAAGTAGAAATTAGAATGTTGAAAGATTCGAGAAAGGATTCTCCTAGCGGTTGACCGTCGGCTCCGTGTCTATTGTTCATCTATGGTGGCATTGCATAACCTTGTGACTAGCAGCATGGAAACACTGACCTGGAGGGCTGGCTTTTTAGTGTAATGCTGTTTGATCTGGTTCTTGAAGATAGGATTTCCTTTATTGTGGGGTCGTCGTCGTCTTTTTTTTTTTTTTCCCCTGCTTGTGGACATGGCTTGTTCAGTTTTGAATCAGCCACAAGCATGGGGAAATGTGTTGTCTTTGCTCATTTATCTTGCTGGGTATGGTCTTTTTTTTGCCCCCCCTTTTTTTTTTCTCCCCTTCGTTGCAATTCCCTTGATGTAATGTTGCTTTTTCATTGTGTATATAGTTTTTTTTTTTTTTTATAAATGAATACTGCTTTTAATATATGTATATGAAGCCATTTTTCCATGAATAGCAGATGTGCACAATCTTGTCTGCGGATTGACATTATAAATATCATGTCATAGCTGGCCTTCTGTTGGGCTCATGTGCTTATGATTTCTCGATGCTCTTTGCATTCATGTGCCTTGTTGGCGTATTAACTGTTGTCTCCTAATTTTTACTTTCTATCAAATAATTGAAACATTCTTGCAGGAATCGTGGGACTGTTGTCTCATAATGAGTTTTTTTGATTTCCGAATAACCCTTGTCTTGACAAAATTTAGCATCTGGTCCAACTCTCTTTTTTAATTTCATGTTTCAAGCTATTTTTATTTTTAGTAGCTTGATATTATTCTTGGTTTATGAGATTGGTTGGTGAGAGTCCACTGTCTTTATATATGTACAGTACATATATTTGAAATAAGATGAATCTGTATAAATATTGTAATATTATGAATGTTCACAACTTTTTAATGAGTCGTCTTTTAAAATTCTGAATTTAAAGTTTTGTAACCTACATGTATGGCTTTTTGAAAGTTTTCTATGATTATGTAAATGTAATTTATTTTACAAATTTAAAATTTATTCTTTTGTAGCTCTTTACATATATTTTAAGGATTTATTGCCTATAAATATTGGACATGTATCAAGTAATTATAAGTTTAAAATAAGTAAGAATCACTCCCTACTTTCCCTATCAGTTATCTCGTTTTGTTCATTTTTCTGATCTCAAATTTCTTGTGTTTTTTCCTAGTTTCATAATAGACTCAGAATCAAGTTTAGGATGTTTTATGATATCAAGAGTATCAAATTATTCAAAATTTGGCCAATCTAAGGAAAAAATAAAAACTTCTCATGGGTTGCTCTAAATGACAGATTCATAGAAATTTTCTGTTGCACAAAATTAATTGAATGTGTCACTCTGATACCTTATATGGGGAAAACGGATTAGGACAAGAATATCGACTTTCTGTTTATTTACTACTGTGGTCATATCACAATGCTGGTTTCCTTATTCAACCCAAGATGTTCATTTCTAAAATTTGGATTTGCCTTTTCTTTTCTTTGTTTCTTTTTTCTTTTTAACAATTTATAAACATAAGATTTAGAGGGGAGATAATACAAAGTATGGGACTCCCTCAACAATAAAGAGAATGGGAATAAATGGAGACCATACCCTGGGGCTCATGAAGTATGAAATTAGTTTCCTTCTCAGAACCATTTGTTTGTTGTTTATAATAATTTAAATATTAATTTTATTTTTTTTAAGAGAAAAAAACCTTAGTTGAATTGGGTATTGAGAATTTATCAAAGATTAGAACATGCTCTCAGGCATAAAAAATGCACCTAATGAAGTACTTACAAGTTGCTCACTAATAAAGTCTTTACATGAACAACAAAATTTAAATGCATATCTTGTAAATTATAAATCAAATCTTTTTTTGTTCTCAATTTTTTCTTCTCAACATAATATTATTGGTGATCAATACAAAAGTATCATGTCACTCTAAACAATCACAGGACTTCTATTTTACCTCAAAAATCTTAAAAATATATCATTTTATCGATAGATTTGAATTGATTCAGATGAGGGCAAAGTGGTACGTATAAATGTATAAACATTGAAAGCATAGTGTATTGCATATTCTTATTTTTTTTATTTGCATATTCAATACAAATACTGAAATTCATATACAAATTACATAAACCCCGACACATCATGTTGATCCGCTAAATGAGTCGCCACATGAACCAATAAACTACACTCGGTTATCATGCCCAAGAGCTCTGAGGAGTGAGGACAAGCAAACAAATGATGAAAGAAATTGGAATAGGGATTCTAATCCCATGGCGTCATGGGATGATCAAGTTGATAAGCCGATTGTATTTCCATCATAATATGAAAACGAAGGAAAGGAAAAAAAAGAAGAATAAAAAATAATAAAACCTGGACTCCCTTAAATTTATTGAATTATCAATTTAATTCTTGAACTTTAATTTTATCAATCAAAACCTTAAAATCTCATAATAGTCATAGCAATCATATTAGTTTAAAATTATTCTATAATTTGAATCAATATCAACGTCGTTTTCCCCACAAAACATGAGGAAACAAGATTTGTAAGGAAATATTAGAAGAAATACGAACATTAGAAACTCAAACAAACGTGTAGAGTTTTTCTTTCTTTCGAATAAAAATTAACTTCCTCAGGTCTAACACTTGACGAACGCATAATTTCCATTTTGTTATTAAGTCACTGAATAACAGATATCTTGCTAAGTACTAACAGATTCATTAGCAGAACACTATCATATACTTTAAATATGTGAAGTCAGCTTTCTCTCTTTTTAATTTCATCTCAAATTTTTAACTAAATTAAGAATGTAATAACCAAGACAATCAATCAGGAAGATAGTGTAGAAAAGACATTTTTTACAAAATAAACATCCATAATGTTCGAAATTCACACAATTTCAAGAGAATTAATAGATAATGAACTTCATCAAAATAGGACAGCTTATTAAATATTTCATTACATTACAGCTTCACTAGTTCATTAAAAACCAAAGTAAATAAATAAATAAATAAATTAAGAAAAAATAAAAATACAAAGAATATGCTACGTAACACGAACAGCACTAGCAAGAAAGCGCAGAGTGCATTTTATTAATAAATGATCTATTATCAAATCAGTATTTCGCGCGCTCGCGCGCGCACACACATCTTGATTAAGTTTGGAACTAAAGATGCCAGCTCCTTTCTTAGTTTTGGCACCACGTGATATAATACAATGGTTCTACGCATCTATCACGTGAGTTCACAAAGTTGAGCACCAAAGTACAAATAAAAGCTTTTACCTTACAGAAAACCTTAACCTTCCAAAGCGAGTTGGTGAGAATCAAACTTGGCTAGAGAGGCCTGAATCAAACATCAATAATCTGGAAGCTTCAAGAGACCCATGATAACTCCACTAATTAAAATCAAGTTTCTCGAGTTTCCACGGTCCAAAAGAAATGAAAAATTCCAGGAAAGATGGGAACCTTGGGAAAAGATGATCACGAACTGAAATTCCAAACACCAGATTGTTCCATCCTCTAGTAAATTAGCCACGTTGACACATAAAATGCAATTCTGGGGTCACAAATTACAATGTCCTTTCACAGCCATCGTGTCAACCAATCACTGCCATCATCAGCATTACTAACCATCTCTCAACATGCTCATCCGAATCCAGAGTTCAAAATATTACGATGTTTGTCCCCTTGCTGTCTGTATAAAACCCGATTCCTTTTCGATCCTAGTGAACATTCTTGTCATCTTGATCATCATGGGACTCCAACTTCTTTTGTTTTTAACTCTTCCTCTTTTCATGGTGATGTTCTTGTCTGTCCTCCATTGACCAGTCTCTGTTGACTTCATTTCTGTGTTCATAATCTTCATAATCATCCTGAGAACCAGATCTCCTGTGTTTGGAGCTTTTCCTAGAAGAATGACGTTGAGTTTGTGTGTCTCCATCTCCATCAAATAAACAAGCGTCAGATTCAGTATCACTAGTTGCATATCTGTAGTCCTGCTCCTATGTCTAGAGCTTGCTTTTGCTATGCCATTTCCTATCTCTATTCCTATCTGACCAATCCCCACGTCCAGCCTCATCATTGTTTCTATTCATTTTTCTTGAGCTCCTTCTTTCACTACTATGCTGTTTTTTCCAGTTCTCAGGTACAGCATCTGAATCAACATCAGAATACCCCTCACGGTTTCTTCTCTCATCACCCTCATTACGATTAGTTGCGCATTTTCTATGGTGCTGACAGTGTTTTTTTCTGTCCCCAGGTTCCGCATCTGAATCCACATCAGAATACCCTTCATCGCTTCTCCTCTCATCGCCTTGTTCCTAGTAATTGAGCAATTTCTACGGTGTTGTGATGGTGTTTTTGTCCCTAGGTGTCGCATCTGAATCTTCACCAGAATACCCTTCATGGCTTCTTCTCATCACCCTCGTTCCTGTTAGTTGAGCGTTTTCTATGGTGTTGATGCTGGTTTTTACTGTCCCCCGTGCATCACATCATGATACCCTTCATGGCTCCTCTCCTCATCCTTGTTTATTAACTGAGCTTCTTCTATGGCGTTTATGGTGTTTATGGCGTTTTTCCTTATCTGACCATTCTCTATCAGAGTCAGAATCAGAAGTTCCACCTTTCCCGTTATGGTAGTTTCAAGTTGATATTTTGTTCATATATTTCCTCATTGGGAGTTCTGCTCTGATTTCGTTCGTTCCTATGTTTTCTTCTTCTACCTGAACCACTGTTATTGAACTCACCAATCTCCCTTGATCTTCTTGAACGGTACCTGTAAGAGATGGGATACAGCAAAGGCCCAGTATAAATCGCATGCTTTAATCGAAGAAATGCTGACAAAATTCAACTCAATATAACACATCAAAAAGGCAATGCAAATTAACGTCACGCTACAAAAACTACTCCTGATACATATCCTGCTCAATATATACAAGTATATATAGGCTGCAAATATAAGTTATTTCCCTTAAAAGACATGCAGACTGTGTTTGGTGCAGAACGTGTAAAAGCCAAGATGTATAATACTACCTGTGAAACTTTTTCTTGGATTTCACAAATAAATTCAAGACAATTTCTTTAATTGGGAGCTGATCTTGTTCACATGATTTGAAACCAAGCGGGTTGAGAATCTTGTCAACAAGACAGTCACCATTATCAAACCCTTTCCTTTTTCGGATAAGAGAGAATTATTAAACCCCTTTTACTCAAATGTTCTTCCATCATGACAAAATCATTACAATATTTGCATAATTTGCATCCATCAAATTATCTTTTTTCCCCATTCAACCATTGAATTCATAACATCTGAGAAACTGAGAATGAGAAGTTTGCAAGGCTTTTTATTCTTGTACCCCTTGTTGACAACAGACCTTCTCCACATACCCTCTAAGAAAGTTGGACGTTCCGCAGGCCATTTAATGTTGATAAAGACCTTAAAAGGGTCTATTATTTAAACAGATTGTGGAGGGGAAACTAGTGTATGAATTGGTGCAATCATCTAATGAGATTTATAGCACTCCACTTAATAGCTTGGATTAGATGGTAACACATACATTAATAAGCATCAAAGCATCACAAGAGTGGGAATTAATAAGCCAGATAATATATAGGGTAAAGGTGCATTTTGCACTTGAAATATTCTCTGAGAGAAGCACCTAGCACCCTAAACTATTTGGTGTAGCATTTTTGCCCATAAAGTAATTAAATGTAGTATTTTCTACCCCAATGTTAAATAACAGACGTTGACCATTAATATGATGTGAGATGAAGGGTAGTTTGACCAACAAACGGATGTTTGTGAGTATTTAACATTAGAGTAAGGAATGCTATGTTTTAAACTATTTTTAGGGCAAAAATGCTACACCAAATAGTTTAGTGCTGCATGCTCTTCACAAAATACTTCAGGGGCAAAAATACACCTTCACCCTGATATATATTGAGAAAAAGTGGTGGTATGGGGGGGAAATAATAAGAATTGAAAGCACACCTATCTGAATCTGCTTTTTGTTTCTTGCTTGAGTTCTTCAGTGCACTCAAAGCATCTTGCTCCATCAATTTCTCATGTTCATCAGAATAACCAAATAAAGCTGCCATCTTTTTCACCCAATACTTTGGGGGGGGTTTGTCAGAGTCAGCCCATGCATAATCTCCTCCAGGATTACGAAAACAGGGATAAAATTGCAAGCTGATCCGTGAGAACAAGTCTGTTAAGGTACATAAGAAAAAAAAGATCAGATTACCATCAATGCAAGTGTATTACTGTATGATGTAGGACCAACAACATGCATCAGCAAAGTGGGAGAGAGGAGAGATTAAAGGGAAGGACAAAAGTAAGAAGGATAAGTAGAAAAAAGAAAATATTATAACTCGAAGTCTTCACAAATAGTTAATGTACGACATCCTAACAAATTAACGATGTTAGAACATATTAAGATAAAATACATCAAAGGAACTAATTGTAATCTTAAATTAATATTAATTAAAATAATGCTTGTCTTATCGGAAAATCTCATTTCTTATTTATCAAGAATTTTTAAGTTACAAATAATAACGCTACTTTTCCTAATCTATTTTTACCCTCCATTACTTAACCTAAGATGGTTTTATCAATCTCAAACATTTTTCGCCCATCATTCAGTGTAAACTACAAAGAACAAAAATAATATGCTTGGCAGCAACTCCTGTAGCCAAAAGAAAAATTAATGTACTTGACATGACCATAACTGCACCTTGAACCCTGACTTCATATACTCCCCACATATTGCAACCTTCCATCTAGTCACATTTACAAATTCACACCTTATCTGCCAGGAAAACAAACAGGTCCATAAACCACAACAAAAAAAAAATGTCAGGAAACTCAACTATTCGCATTAACCATACAAAGCCCAAAAAGATATATCTGGTGAGTAGATATCCCAACTTACCAAGTAACTGGCAACAAATGGGAAACTAATAGATTATTAGACATGGCAGAAGTGAAATCCTATGATAGACCAAAGGCATATAAGCATAATCACATTTAAAAATTCTCATGATGTATGCTTCAGAGAGGGATGCAAACCTGTTTTCCAGCAAAGTAACGACTACTGATTGAGTTTATATGCAAGGACAGCAGAAGAATCCATTGATTATAATGCACATAGACGTTCCCTCGCAAGTGAAAGGAGCCATTTTTACACACCGCCAGAGATAAATAGAAGAACTGCACTGAGATTGCATGAAATATGTAAGCAAGAGATAAGGTAAAACCAGGAAAGGGAAGCAGCCACATTCTTCAAATTGTTATTTTTGGAACATATGCTACACATTTTTGCTGCAATTATAATTTTCCCTTTTGCTTCCCAAATAACAAAATTGAAAACCCTTTTAGACTTCAGGGGCCTTACAGCAGAGTGGATTATGTCAAAAAAGAAAGAAGAAAGAAAGAAAGACAGAGAAGCGAAAAGAAAAACGGAAGGGGGTAAGAGTGGGTAAGAAAGTGAGAAACTGCTACATACCAAAATCACAGCAGTTTCAATAGAGATAGAAAAAAAAAAAAGGTACAATAAATTAATGCCAATTAAATGGGCAAAAATTACAGTCAATTTGTGCGTGTTGTAACTGCTGTCAAGAGTTATTAAAATTTAGCAGTGATTAAGAAAAGAAATTGCTAACAGTGCACCCATTATGAGACGACGACGACAAACCATTGCCAACTACTGGGGAGGCACATGGATTGCACGATCCCATTGTACTCCATCAACAACTAAACCTTTGGGTGTAACCAAAAGGTGCACTTAGTACAAGAGCTATAAAGTATTTTCTTGCAAGTTAAAAAAAGAGTTATAGTAGAGCATTTTTTTTTTTTTGGGAATAATCATAATGCTAGACAACAATGAATAAAAGAGTTAGATTGGTCAGTTTAATATAACATTACACAACATCAAGATTTTTCAGTAATATTTGGGTCTTTTCTTTACACCCCCAACTGTGGCTCTCTTTGTTTTTATACCACCATGCATATGGCTTCTTGCTAAAATACAGAATTAATATCAATATCAATACATATAATATAACATTATAAACAAGCCGTAGTATTCATAAAGCATAAACAGTGCATCTTATTCTCCAGATTTTATGCGATGCATGAAAA